GGGCAACAAAAGCTTATGCCTCCCATCATGATGCAAAGTCCTGCCCTGCTTCCTTGGTCACTGGAGAGCCTGTTGTGAAGGTGAGTGAAGGTATGGACCCCAAAAATGAGTTGTCTAACAAAGCCCATGCAGTAAAGCTGGGGAGGTCACTGCTGCAAGAGTGCACTGAGGCAAAACCAAGATCTTCAGAGCAGCTCTGGAAGTGTTCATTGATTGCTATATTCTCATGCAGGGGACCAGTAGAAGACTTGGGCATTTCTCACACCTCCCTTTCAGTAGTCCCTAAGCCCAGGAACTGTAGTACATGGAAGCGTGTTTCCTCAAGGCAGGGAGCACCCCCAACCATGCAGTTTACTAAACAGTGACCATCCCCCATCCCACCACCTAAATGCACAACCTTGAGCATGTTAGTTTAAAAAAAATCCCACAAGTTCAATACCTTATAAAGTCAGGGCCTGAAAGGATAAAATCACACATACATCAGCATCTGAACTGCTCCCAAACTCTCTGATCTGCAGCCAAGGAAAAACTGTGGGAGAATTCCCATCTTTCATATGGGCTTTGGAGCTGGGCCTGGAGGTCTAGGACAGGATTTTGCCTGATCAGTGTTAACGTGGTGTGTGTATGTTCTTTCCTTGCAAGCTAAAGAAGGGCAAGAAATGTGTAAAGAAGTCATATTTAGCTTGTTATGCATGTGTTTCTATTGACCTGATATAAGAAACATTCTTCTTGAGACCTACATGATTAAATTGCCCAGCTGTACATGTCTAATGAGATGCCTTGGGCTCAGGTGTCTGCTTCTCTGGAATGATACACATATCTCCTGTGGTTTTTTTCCTGACAGGCCTGTGGAGATATTTGGGATACCACAGGGCATTAAGTGGCACAGAAAACTGGTATTCAGGCAAATGAATCACACCTTTGATCTCATCAGCCCAGCCAAAATCAGGAGACTGTTGTCTTACCTATCATCTCAAAGCTTGGCTCATTATTCCTGACTGAGCCCCACAGACACCATAGGGTGCTTAAATGGCATATTTACAGCACCTCAAAATGACAAAGGTTTCCTGTGCACATGGGTGGCAAGAAGTCACTTCTGCTTAGGAACCTGCATCCTACTTGTCTTCAAAACAATTTTGCTAGACAAAACAAGTTGATAGAAACTAAATTGGGATCTTTGCAACATTTGTTGAGTCTTCCTTGAGGTTTTGTAGGTGCTGTTTCTTTCTCTCACTTTCCTTGCTTCTTTCTGGGTTGAAATAAATCTCTCCTTTCAGGTATGTAAATCCCACCTTCACAGTGTGCCTAAGGACCTTTCCCTGGCTGCTTGGTTCCCCTGCAGTCCCAGCCAAGACAATACTCAGGATCCAGATGAGGAGAGGATGCCCTTGGGCAATGATGGAGTTTGGCTCAAGGTAAGTAAGGATGAAGGATTTGCCTCAGCATTTTGGTAATAAAGGCCCATCCTTTTCTGTCCTGTAGGAGCTACAGCAGTCTTAAAAACTGCTCAGATAGGATTTAGTATCCTACCGAACTCTTCACAAACCCCAAATGCCTGTGGCTGGGTCTTACATTGTTGTCCCATTCCCACTGTGAACAGCAAACCCATCCTGGGGCAAATTGCCGGGAGAAAGGGCTGTGCCTGAAACCAGAAGCCCACAGAAATGTGTTGAGGCTGAGAAACAACTTGCTCCTGACTATCCTCTATAGTCAAGCTGTGCCATTACACCCACAGAGAGCAGGCACAAGCTGTGTTTAAAGTTCTGATTGCCTTTGCTCACCATGACTGATAAAGAGGGTAGCTGGATATACTCTGCCATCCTCAGGGGTCCTGAGCACTTCAGGTTGCTGCTGAGCACCCTGAGCCCACAGGAACCAGCTGTGGCATGCATGTCCTTCTGCCCTCTCTGGTGACACCAGACCAAAGGAGGCACTTCTGTGCCCAAGATGCTGGTCCTGCAGCCCACTGGGGGCTCAGGGGCTGCCTCTGAGAGGGCACCTGGAGGGTCAAACCTCTCTGTCCTGGCAGGTAGAGGAGCAGGACAGAGAGCTGAGGGTGAAGCCAATGTGATTTTTACAGCATTGATTTTCTGACCACAGGCACGGTTTAGAGGTTTCATGGCTGTTTCCTGGTGTTACTGGAAAGCTGGGCTCTGGCATGCTGCTTCCTCTGCAGTTTGAGGGGCACCTTGCCCTGCTTTGCTTGAGGTTGTCTAGAGAGGACCTGTTCCCAAGAGGCTCAGATGACTTGGTGAATTGTCAAACCTGAGTCAATAAACATTGGTATTGCATCTGAGCTCCTCTGTCTCTCCACAGAACTTCCTTTAACTGTTCTTTTTTTTTTTTTTTTTCCCCTTTTTTCCTTGTCTTTGTGCTCACAACCTATTTTCTGGCTTCAGTCTCTGGCCATGACAAATGCAGCTCCTTTCTTCCTTTGCTAGTGAGAAAGCAGCAATCTCCCCCTCTGCCCTACCTAGATGAAAGCTTGCTTTCCACTTCTCACCAGGGGTTAAAAGCGTGTTCCAGTTTTATTGGAGCTTGCGGTCAGTTCTCTTCCTCTATGGATGTTTATATTAAAGACTTTCATTACTGTTTCTCCGTGCTCTCTCTAGGAGTGCTATTATTTTCCACCCATAAAATTATTTATGGACTAGTAATAAATATGCCCTTTTTCTTTTTTCCTTGTTTTTAATAGAGTTTGCCTGATTGGTAACATATTGGGTTAGGAAAGACAGCTTCTTGTTGACAATTTGCCTCGCGCTCCTGCCTGCCCTGACAGGAATGGTTCTGTTCATACACATGCGTACCCACGTGTGTGTGGTGTTTCATGGCCACCAACTCCTATGGCCATTTTAAAGCTGTTACACCTGTGTCACCCTGTTAGAACTACACCTCAAAACTCATTGGGTCATAGGAATTGCTTCCTACAGCATTTCTCAAGAGGTGGCACCAATGAACAAGAGAAAAGCTAGGTCATGCTGTAAGTAGGCTGGGGGCAAGAGGTGTGTGTGTGTCTGTCACCTAACAAAGCATTTACGGTGCACCTTGGGTCTGCAGATGGGAATCATTATGATTTGCAGATCTCCAGCAATGCTTTGTTCTCAGTTTCCAACACATCCGGCAAGAAAAAAAAATCAAAATCACTTGTAAGCAAGTCAGGATGCGTGACATGCAGGAAATGAAACAGAAAGGGGGAGAGGGAGGGAGAAAAATTAAGATAGCCAGCCATGGCCAAGTACATCATATGTATTAAAACCAGAAAAGAATTGGAACATTCAGTCCAAGTCAGCTGATGCTGGTCTAACTCGGGGCCAGTGTCCTTCACCACCAAGTAGGTGCACTGTAGGAAGGGAAAGACTAAACCCTCCACTTTAAGCTGTGTAGTGCAGGGAAAGCCTCACCTGACTTCTCCAACCATTTCTTCTCCCCTGCGGAACCATGCTTGGAGGAGGAGGCAGCAGGTGCCTGGGTTAAAATCGGCTGACTCCTTGGAGCTTTCCTGCTGCAGTTCTGTCCAGAGGGGCTCCTTGGAGCAGGCTGTGAGTGCTGCTGGCTCTTCATCTTCTCTTCTTGCTTTCCTTTCCTCCCTTTTGCTTTCCTGCTTCTTTCCCCCCCCCCCCCCCCGCCCCTTTTCTCACCAAGGGAGACAGTGAGGATGTACCAAATAAAAATGTTTAAGCCTTCTGGTCCACTCCTTGCAGCAAGCCCTGGACAAGGGAGCATGTAGGCAGCGGTGGGGACTCGCTCTGGGGTGTTTGTTGCTGAGCACGTCCCTGCAGGGTGGGAGCCCTGGCTGAAGTCCAGTGTTTTTTCCTGCTCCCATGCGTAAGCAATGCCTGGCATGGCATGAACCACCCTGAGGCTGGGCTGCCATCGCGAATCAGGTGGTTGTCCCCTCCGCTCCCACAGTCTGCTCTTTGGGCTGTGCTCGGCCAGCTGGGACTTGTCCTCCAAAATACACCTTCGCCTTGAATTTCTGGGCTTCCTCCACACCGGCATTTAACAAAAACACTCCATAGGGTGGATCTTGATCAAAACACATCTCGGCACAGGGTGGGGGGATACCAGGGTGGGGGAGAAAAACATTTCTATCTTCTTACTTCCAAAGAACATCTGTCCTGCCATGATTGATGCCACGAGATTCCCGGCTGCCTTTGGGGCTGTAAACAAGTGGGGAGCTGTCGGCTCTCCTAGCAGGCAGAGATTCTTCCCACAAATCTTTCCACATGTTGGCTGATGGATGGTTTGTAGTCACTCTGGGTACTGAAGCTGTTCTTTGTTGGTTTTATTGTTTGGGTTTGGGTTTTTTTTAACGGAAATATTCTGGTGGCAGGGCCAGTAGGTCTGAGTACCTTGCTTGTCTGGCTGGCACTCCATAGGGTGGGAGTCAGAGCCTGGTGGAAGGAGGGCTGAAAAAGGGTAATCCAGGTCTTGGTCAGGTGTTGCTCAATTTTAAAAGCAGCAAATGTGGAAGCTGGGAAGATACCATAAATTTATGGCAAGGGAACTGATACTTGTGTGGAAGACTGGTGAAAAGGAGAAGGGGAATTAGGAGGGAAAGGAGTGTGTTCCTGCACCCTTCTTTCTCTTCTGTCTCTTCCCACACATTTGCTACCCTGCACATCTGCAGTCTGTGACCCCGTAACCCTGTGCCTGCTCTCACACCACGTTCCCTCTTCCTCTCCCTCTTGTATATAGAGGATCAGAAAGGCTGTATTTAGTATGCATGCTCTCAGAGTCTCTTTTGCCCTCCTGCCTAGGTGTGCTTTGAGAGACCCGCAGTGCCCACCTCCCTCCTGATCTTCCTGGCCTCCTCTGGCACCATCCCAAGCAACCAGCGCAAGCCGAGTGTCGCCGTCCAGCTGAGTGACATAGATGGGCTGAACAGCTCTTTAGGTGAGCAACCTATGGGCTATGGTAATAGCAGGGACACCAGGAACTCACACCCATGCTGTGATCTCTCACTGGATTGGGTGCTGCTGTCCACTGTCCTCACTTGCAGCATCTTCTGCTTCCCAAGCTGGTCTGTTGGGATGTGTGTGGGAGCAGAAGAGAGAAACCAAAAGCTGAGAAAATATCCCCAGAGTTGAGCTAGTGGCTTCTTTCTTTGCCTTGTCTTGCAGGGATGTATGAGCTGTCATGCCAGCACAACCCCCTCGTTATTAACGTGAACCATAGCCAGGCGGACCCATCCCACCGGGCTGTTTCGGTGCTGCTCAACTTCTCCTCCCCACTTGTGGGCATTGCAGCTGTGGCCTTGCGGACCTTGGCTCAGCCTGGCTCCTCTGACCCTACTACCTGCCTCCTGCAACATGAGGAGGGACATGGCCATCAGTGCTACAGGTATGGTGTCCTCAGAGCACTTTGCAACAGGCACCCAGGGTATCTCTCTCCTCTGGGGCTTTATGCTTCAGTTCTGGAGTTTTTATCTACTTGCTGAATGTTTCATGACTTATTCTCAAGTGGTTTTTTAGGTGGTGTTGGAACATCCAGTATAATGGCTGGATTTGCTTATCTCGCTGCAGGGAGGCAAGAAAACAGATTTTGTGTGTGGCCTGTGCCTTTGCACAAAACTGCATTAAAGGACTGTTCCCTGGTGAGAAAACCAAAATCCTTCTGCTGAGGAGTTACTGCTGAGGGTTGCTGCTGAAGCTGAAATGTTGGCTGCTTCTACATATGCTTTACAAGCTCCATCTCCATCCATTCCAGTCTTCCCCATGCTGCAGGAGGTGGGGGTGATGCTCTCCTCCTTCTCCTCCTTTTCCTCCCCCTCCTCCTCTCTGTGCTGACTCCACCTCTCTCCCAGGCTTCCGAACAAGTCTCATGCTGCCCTGTTATAATGTGGTGATAACAATAATAGTAGCAGTGGTGCTTTAATTTATTGATGTCTGGTGCTCTCAGGCGTCTGCTTGTCTTCATAAAGCAGCAGACGAGAGGCAGCATTTGCAGAACGGGAGCGACTCTCCACTGCGGGTCGTACTGGCAAAAGGACGGGGAAGGACTGTAGTCCAAAATAGACTAAATAAACAGGGTAGAAAAGAGCATGCCAAGCAGAGGCATGGACCCAAGGAGGAATGAAAGGATGGTGCTCAGCTCTGTCCTACAGGGGTAGCGGGGCTGACGACAGCCAGACCTGCCAAGTCTGGCTTTGGTTTCAGATCTCAGGCTCCCTGAAGTTGCAAGAGTGCTGATCCAGGACTCTGGTTCAGACAGTTACTCAAACTGCACCGCTGGGAATACTGATATTGGGTCCAAGCGTTGCTGGAGCTATGGGGGTGTTAAGAGTGAAGGGCTTTGGCTAGGGTCATTGCATCACTGCTACTGTCATTTTTCTTCTGTTGATGGTGCTGGATGGACAAAGATCCCCAGTAATGAATGAGCGTACGTGTGTTTGTCTAAAAGCTTATGGGATCATGGTACAATTGATTTACGTAGAGTTCTGGAAGCCATGAATAGTTTGCTTTTCACTTTCCTTTTTTTTTTTTTTTTCCTTTCTGCTTTTTTTTAAGTGCATGTGTGATTTATACAGAAACATAAATCTTAGTGAGTCAGCATATAAATATTATTCTCAGCCTTACATTAAAGGATCAGCGTCCACCTGAAATGCAGTCTGTTTCCTCCTGGTAGATGTTACAGCTATGTACACACATGCTTCTAAGAACCCAGCCAACTGATGTGGTTTTTCAGTTACATTTTCTCATCCTTTAAAATAATTTTACATTCTCATTGCTTGAGATCTCACCCTTCCCCTTAGAAGTGACTGCAAGGAGGAATAGACTAACTGGACACAGCTGAGCATTGCCTATGGATGAAGAGAAGCTCATAAGGGGACAAATAGAGAGGAAAATATATGTTTTTCTCTTAAAAGTCTCATTACAGCTGAAGCACAAGCCAGTTCCCATATCAGCAAAGCACACAGAGCTGCATGCTGTCCCCTTTGTGTGGGCACAGCAGGATCCTCGTGTCTTCTCCTCTTGCTGCTGTCGTGCAGGCTCCCCATGGCCTTGGTTTAGCTGCAGTATCACAGGTTACACATGTGCCCTGAGTAAATCAGTTTTCAGAGTAGGAAATGCTGTTATGGTATTGCTTTTCTGGACACAAGGCTTGCATATTTAAAGAGGGGTTAGGCTTACAGCTTCCAGTAGCCTCACGAATAATAAAGGACTGACTCTGTTAAGTCAGAAAACATCCAAGTATACCCCTTATAATATTTTAATATCTATTTAATCTCCAAAAGTAATGTACAGTAGTATTTTTATTTTTAAGGGCTAATAATCCATTTCATAAAAGGCAGGTGGAGTCTGGGGAAAAAAACCTCTATAAAAATTCAGGAATATAAAATCCTAAGAGGTTTAGAAACATCTGACTGTCAAAGATCATAAAGATCTGTGTTATTCCTGTGAAGAATTGAACTGACCATTCGCACGCACCCAGCCTCATACTGTGTACAGTATGTGCATGTGAGTGCTTTCCTAAAATAACCCAAGAAAGGAACAGTAACAAAAGCATAAAAAAAATGAGGTTTCCTGACTTAGTCTAGAAATACTCATTGCCAAAATGATAAATATGTGATGGCTTGGTATTTCTGTAGCATCTTCCATCTCCAAGGATCTCAAAGCGCTTTTCAGGCTGAGAAAAAAAATACCATGTTTTTGCTGATGAAATGCAGCCTTCTCCAGGCCAGGATGCAGCAGGCATTTAATGATAAAAAAGTACATCCACGTTTTGAGAAAAGAGTTGCCTTCTGCTTTTGGACCCGCTTGAGGTACTGAAGGTCAGAAGAGCACTTGCAGACCAAAGCAGTGTAGGTGTTCCTCCGTCGCACCTTGCTACCAGCACCAGTTACCCCTCTCTACTGTCTTTTCCAGCAGCTCAGGGCTCTTCTTTGCTTTCTGTACCTTATGAGGTCAAGCAGATAGCACTCTGCAGCTTTCATCCTTTGTATTTTAAGACTGTGTTACAGTCTCTCTTGTTTTGCTTTTTACAGGCTATATGCTGAACCAGGGGAACATTTTTCATTTCCTCCATTATGTTTATTTTTAGTTTGGTTTTATTTTTAATGTGTTTGATTTTATGTTAGCATATGCTGGGAAATGCCTTGGCGAGTTAACAGGAAAGGTGTTACAAAATGCTATCTGCACTGTGTTTTGTTTCCTGTGTGAGTGCCCTCCTCTGCTCCCCCAAAGTGGGTTTGATGCATCAAGGGGAGTGCGGTTTGGAATCCTTTTGTATGGCAAGTTGGCGTCAGAGAGAGAAAATCAGATAGAGAAGGGGGTTGTTTACATATTTTCAATTGCTAAACTTTATTCAGCGTAGCCCCATTTCCCAGGCAGGTTTTGTTTGGTTTCTTTTCTTCTGGGTGCCATATTTATGCAGGGCCCATTTATGAACTGCATCTGTGCTGGTATGAAAATTTGTAGGGACTCTGGTGTTTCACTTCCTCCCCTTTGGCCTAGGGTGCCCTGTGGTCAAGGACCATGCACAAAGCAGATGGACCCTTTTGTTGGTATCCCAAGGTCACCCTGATGGGCTGAGATGTGTTTCAGATTAAAATGTACCTCCGTTGCCACTCTCTTCTCCCAGCCGGTGTCTGCTCAGGCTCTGTTTGCATGCACAGTGCAGCCAACATTGAAAGTTGTCTTCTGTGAGGACAGCACATGTTGCTTGGACATCTGTTCTCTGCCTCTCCCAAGCAAACACAGCCTCTTGGGTGCAGCATGAGGCCCATCAGAGCAGGATGTGTCTGTACTGCACCATGCACATCCTCTCTCCTTGGCTTGGAGGAAAGCACCTCTCAAGAACTAAGCCTAGGATCCTTATCACCATGGAGCATGGACTCACCTCAGCCTCTGCCATGGAGACCTCTCAAGTACCTCTCCTCTGACATCAAAGCCTGTTGACCCCTGGCACTTCACTTGTAGGTCCCTGGACAGCTGGTGGGCTGTGGTAGCCAAGGTTCTACTGTAGGACTTGATCAGTTGCTTCAACTGGTGGCTTCACTGTCCAGCTGGAAGGTGACAAAGGAAAACCTTGGAGGTGTAGGGACCATTGTCATAGGCTGCCCTGTTCTATTTGCCCTCTGCAGCTTAGTCAGCTTCTTGAGTTCAATGCTTTCTATACATGGTTTTATTAGGATGCTCATGGCATTTTCTGCTTTTCCCTGAGACTAGCCAATCTCGCCTAGGAAAAAATATCTCCCAACACAGAAGTTCTTCACCAATTTGATTTGGTGTCAAACACAGCAGCTGAACAGCTTAGAAACAGGGTGCTTGGTGTCACCTCATGGAAAAGGCCACTGGTCCGATAAACTTGTTCCAAGCATGGCCGGCCCCTGATACACTGAGGGAAGGTGAATTACAACACAGAGAAGATGGGAGTCAAAGTCTTCTCTCCTTCCTGTGTTTCCAGTGAAGAAGGGAGCAAGTGCTGGGGGATCCTGAGGTTTGCCTGCAGTGCACCACTGCAGCCAGCCTGCCCATGTTTTGCCCTGCCTTCCCTACTGTCATACATAGGCACTAGCATTTTTTACAGAAACTGGATTAAATATGTCCTTCTGAAGGCTCTCTTATCTCATGGTACCAGCTGCAGGGAGGTGACGAGTCCAGCGTCTCCCCTACTGAGCTATTCTTATATTCAGTAACCCTCTCTGCTGAGAAGTTTCCTCTGATTTCAAGATGAAAGTTGTTGCTTTCACTCCATTCTTGTCAGAAATGTCTAAATGCTTCCTGTCAGCAGATGACTGTTCTGTGTATATGTGTCTGTACAGAGTGATCAGATCCTCTCACTATCTCCTCTTTGTCATGACAAATATTTTTTCCTCCTTGAATCTTATATTGTAAGTCTTGCAGTCCAGCTATGGCTTCTGCTTGCAGCTCCCTTTCAAAATCCCTTGACTCTTTCAACGTTTTTCTTAGTGGCAGATGTGGATCAGAAGTGAATTCCTCTGGACAAGATACGAGGTGGCAGAAATGAGGTACAGTGTGTTGCTGTGGGAACTGGATATGGATAAAAGTTCTTTGGGATAGCTGAGTATGTACCCTTGAGGAATACTGGCAGGTAAATCCTGCTTGTGTCCTGGCCTTACCACAGGCAGATGGGTTATCTGCGTTCAGAAAGGAGTCACCAGCTCCTCTCAGGGGTAATGAAGGACTATCCTGCTGAGGTTGGCAAGCTGACTAGACCAAACTTGACATGCCATTCAGCCTCACTTTCTGTGCTTCTGTAAGCCTATTTTAGTGTTACAAAACCCAAAAAAACATGGAAAGGAGCTGTCTGGAAATACATTAAGATTGATCTGCTCTTGCTTCTTTTTCTTCCTTTGCCACTATGGCTGCAGAGGGGCC